ACAGAAGCAAAGCTCCCAAAATCAGTGGCTGTGGAGCAGCAAATGCCATTGTCAAAGGTGCTAGAAATGCCAAAGAGGCAAAACATAGCAAATTCATCCTCCTGAAGCAGGACAGGGCCACCTGACAGGTAGAGGCAGGCAGGATTAAATAATGGTGCACCCACAGCCCCGGTGGATAAAGAAGGCAGCCCCATCCCTGGCCATGGTGTTGCACTCAGTATCTGTGAGCTCAGGATATCTCAAACCCAGCTGAAAGAGAGATGAAGGAAGGAGGAAGAAATAGTGACATGTGGCATAAATACAATCCACAGGAGTTCAAGGTTTAGAAAGAAATATATTCTGCTTGGGAAGGGGAGGACACCTTGTGAGAGACACCAACAGCCTTGGGGAAACTTTGGATTTCAAGAATAACCAAGAAAAACCTCTCCAGACGTGAGTTTGACTTAGTCCTCGTATAAATGCTTTGGTCTGGTTTAGTTTGGGCTCCCAGATGAGTACTGCTCCTAGTGAAGGCAGGGATTTGGATGGGAAGAAGCGTGCTGGAGGCAGGCATCTCCGTGGTGTGCTAGCCAAGCCACTCAAAGTGCTCATTTCAGGTGGCTGATCAAAGGCAGAGATGCATAAACCATTACATAAACCATTGCATATGCTCCACAGGGAGCATAAACCATTGCAATGCTTTATTTCCACTAATAGAGCCAGACAAAAAACAACAACAACAAAAATTATCTGCTTTTATCCGAGCAATGTGCTTCTAATAAAACTCCAAACAGGCAGAGCTCAGGTTGATTCCATCTTGTTTCTCCAGGAGGGTGAAGGAGGATTTTCCTCATGGGCTTCAATATATTCAGACTCATGAATAAAAATATATGAAACATAAAGCAAATCATTTAATTTCTCAGTAACAACGATGTTAGTTACAGCTATAAAACAAATTCTGTAACTGCAGAAGAGGGATTTTTTAAAATCTTTTTATTAATTCAACAGAAGCATATTAAAAATGTCTGTCATTACAAGTCTGGAGAAAAGTATTAAGTTCGAATAAGGTCATTGAGGAAGGATAGAGGGAAGGCTTAAGCACCTTTTCAGCATCCTGTGTATAAAAATAGCACAAATCAGCCTTCAGAGTGTCTGTTTTGGGGACCCTTCACCCCAATACACACGGCCAGGTGTGACAATCACTGACCTGATAAGAAAAACCTCTCATCATCATCTTTCAGCACTTTTTGGGAAATGTGAGCTGGCTGCTTTGGCAGCTGCATTGTTTGCAACCTGTACTGTTTCTGAGGCATCTCAGGTACCATCATTTGTTGAGGGGCTGGCCATGTTCACCTCGAAATATCTTCATCTTCTGGCCTAGTGATGATCATCTGTTCTTACTGAGCAGTCACTCCTGCTCAAGGATATTACAAGAAACAAAATTAAGCATCTATTCAAAGCAGCCAAAACACTTCTGCTGTTTATGGTCAGGTCTACCACACAAGGTAAATCATACAAAACCATGGTGTAATTTTGCAGAAGGTGGCAGCAGTTTTTGGGCAACCCCAGTTTTTGAGCTGTCCCCACATTTGTGAAGAAAAGTCCCTCAACAGGGCCCATCCACCTCACAGGATCAAATTTTTAGCCTTCATCACATCTGAAAATAGCAGGGTGGGGGTGTGCTGCTTCTTGAACACAATATATCCCATACATCCAGCTTGCTGGGCTAAGCAGGATGCAGGGACCTCTCAGATGTGGAGCCAATAGGGAGCACTCTGGCTACCTGGGATTTTATAAATCTTTCAGCTATCAGTCTTTCAGAGCTCCAAATGCAAAATCCAGCAGCCTGGGATATCATGTGGATTTATGACTTGGGATTTATGAACTGGTCTGGATAAAATAAGAACTGCCTGACTTTTTTCTTTTTTCTTTTTTCTTTTTCTTTTTCTTTCTCTTTCTCTTTTTCTTTTTCTTTTTTCTTTTTCTTTTTCTTTTTCTTTTTCTTTTTTTTTACTTTTTCTTTTTCTTTGTCTTTGTCATTTTCTTTTTCTTTTTCTTTTTCTTTTACTTTTTCTTTTCCTTTTTCTTTTTCTTTTCCTTTTCCTTTTCCTTTTCCTTTTCCTTTTCCTTTTCCTTTTCCTTTTCCTTTTCCTTTTCCTTTTCCTTTTCCTTTTCCTTTTCCTTTTCCTTTTCCTTTTCCTTTTCCTTTTCCTTTTCCTTTTCCTTTTCCTTTTCCTTTTCCTTTTCCTCATTCTCTCTTTCTTTTTCTTTTTCCTTTTTTATTTTTCTCTTTGAGAAAAAGAAATCATAAAAAATTAAGACCTGATTCTTTTTTTCCCTTTTCAAAGCATGTTGTTTATACAAATGTGGATGTCTTGTACCTATTCAATTATTTTGATTTTTCTTTTTATCTGTGTGCTTTCTGGGGCTGGAAGCAGAACAGAGAACCAGCAATGCTGCTCTCACAAGGTTTCCTGCCTGACAGGAATATCCTGAAGAATAATGCTTTTGGGGCACTCCCAGCATTTCTACAGTTAGGAAAGGTGCTGATAAATGTTTAAGAAGGTTTCTGGATATTTCCAAGCAGTGGGATAGCTCCTCACCATACTGCTGCCACAGCTCTCACTCACTTTCATCACTTTTTTTCCTTAAATAATCTTGCAGCTGATTTTATTTTTCATTTGATGCTCGTCAAGTTTTTGTCATAGGTATATATGCACACCCACATATATGCACACAATCACATGCTTATTTACAGCAGCATAAACACACACACATGTATGTTTATGAGAGAGTATTATGGATGGCTTGTATTGATGATCTTGGAGGTCTTTTCCAACCTTAATGATTCTTTAATTACATTAATTTTTTATTAAAAGCTAGTACAGATTATCTGTTTTTTCTTACTAGTGAACTGTATATCTTTTGCATGAGAGCCTGTCCCAAAGGAATTTCTTGTCTTTCCTCTAAGTTGTGACCTTCCTTTCAATAAAAAAGGAGACAGTATTTACCTTGGTCAGGAAGAAAACATGTCAGATATGTTTTTGTCCTCCTTTCTGATTGACCCTTTCATACCTCTGCTCACAGTTTCTGAATAATTTTCTCCCTGCAATCCTTGAATTCTGCTCGTTCTTTTATGGATCACTGTATCCCTTAGGAAAAAAAAAAACCCTAATAAACAGCTCCAGTCTTTCCACCTCCCACCTTCCCCATCCTTGTGGGCACAGCACTCACATGCCAACACTGCCAGATGCTCTCACCCCTTCTCCTGCTGGTGCCCCAGCCACAGAGGCAATGCCACACCAGCAGTGCTGGACTGGGGATGATGCTTCTGGAGCAGCTCAGTTTTGCTGTGCCCATGAAGAATAATCTTTTGCATCACCTTTGGTGCCTGAATAACCTAATGTGGGGGTGTTTATCACACCAAGGAATTCAAGTCATCCAACCAAACCCTCCCAGCCCCTATCCCAAGAGCCTCGGCATGGAAATGCAACAGACTCAGCCTAAGAAATGTCAGCAACTTACTCTTTGTGGTCTGAAGGAAAATGTGCTGGTTTGTTTCTATTACTGTGAATTCAGAGTGGAGATTTTTTCAGCATGACTTGCAGCCCAGGAATAATTTGATTTGGAGATTTTTTTTTTTTTTTAAATAAAATCAAGGAGCCCAAATCATGTCTCAGAGCTAGATATAAATTGCTGCTTAACAAAAATCAAAAATTATATTGGTTTTTAATTATTCCATGTGAATTTTCTAATTGTTATCTCTTTTTAAGCTCAGAAGTTACATGGTAAGCAACCAGGCTTGGCATGGGGAGGCCAGGAGACTGCTCGCTGCCTTAGCACCTCCCTAACTTCAGCTTTGGTTAAGAAAGCTTGCTAAAAATTTCATGTGAATTAATGAAATTTTATGAGCAGTGAGGATGGTGGTGTTTGGAAATATGTCTTTCCAGTTTTCACCCCACTAAGCATCTGTATCCCTGGTACCTCAGGTATCCACTGCAGTTCATGCATTCCCATTCAGGTACTGGAGATATTTTTGGGGGCAGAGTGGGGGGAATGTGAAAAATAATTTTTCTCCTCTGCAGGCTTTTTCTGTCCACTTTTCACATCACTGGAGAAGAACTGGTGGCTCACGTTGTGGCACCTGGGATTGTGTCACCCACACCAGAGCAGCTGTGTGCAGGAGCTGTGGAGGGCAGCGGAGCAACACTCCTGGGGTCATCCCAAATCCTGGGGACATCCCAAATCACCCTGCAACACCCAACACTGACAAAACCCACCAGACACCGTGTGCCAAAAGCATCTTCACTTGGCTGCTTGGTCCTGGAGCGTGGCTCCAGCTCTCCCCCAGCCCCAGTACCATCTCTGGCACGGTCCATTAAAAATTATCTCTCCATCAGAGAGTGAGGGAGGGGGCTTGGGGCAGATTCTGGTGCAAGGCACGAAGTGTCTGGACCCTGCAAAGTTCAAAGGCAGCCTCCCTCCCACCCCGAGCAGGGATGCAGCCGGCCGGAGGATGGCTGGAGGCCACACAGACGGGAAGGTATGTAACAATCCATTTATCACTTTGCAAATATTAGTGCTGCTCACATTTGCTGCAGCAATATTTCTTCTTGGAAATTGGTGAAGTGAGTAATAACAATGTTATTTATTCTAAGACCTTGGAACTGAGAAGTAATAACAGGGGGACTGTTCCCTTGAAAGCTTCAGAGGTGCAGGAAATAAAATGGGGGGGCAGGGAGAGAAGGACAGGAAATAGAGCAAAAAAGACCTGGAGGAGAGAAAGCCATTGAAATCTCGTGTTTAATTTCTTTGCCCCAAAGGTAATGAAATGCTTTTTGTAATGATTTGGACATAAACAAGGCAAGGTGGGAAGAAGGGTGAGTATTTCAGATCCATCTCTGGCTGGAGCATCCTGCAAGGTTTCGGGGTCTGGCAAAGAACTTCATTCACCATAGAATCTCCTGGATCTCTTCTTGCATTTTTTTTTTTTTTTATTCCTGCACACCCATCCACCCCCCTACATCCCTTATCTGAATATATAAGGCTGCCCTTTGCTCAGATTTATGGGTTGGGGCAGCACTGTGTGTATTTACAGTCTCCTGACCTGCAGACCTACAGCTGAACAAGAGCAGGAGGAAACCAGGGCCTGTTCCATAAACAGAGACAGATACGTGGGGGAGGCAGCAGGAATTGTGAGCAGCACTTAACATTTTTAACTATTTGGCCAAGTCAAGGAATTAGTGATTAGATTAGAGGCAAAGAAAAATAAGAAGCGGGGTTAAAGATTTAGGAAAGGTGGGGGAAAGGACAGCAACAACCAACAGAGGCCCCAGGTTTGGCATGGGGAGAAAATAAAAGTTATTGGGATGTTATAAAATGTTTTTCAGGGCAGCAGGGAAGAAATGAAAGCTAATCTCCAAAGCATTTTAATCAAGTTGTCCTTTTCTTGGGTAGGACCAAACAGCGCTTTTCAAGTCTGATTACCTTTCAAGGAGGTAGATTACTTAGTCTGTGTTTATTCAGGAACTAATTGCCTCAGATTAAGTAAAAAAAAAAAAAAAAAGAAAACCTTACTCAGTGATTATAAATATTTCTAAGGTCTGTATCTATCAGTTGGTTTGTCAGTAGAAATTCAGTGCAGATGAGAAAATATTTGAAAGGGGCCAGAGGATTTACTCAGCTTCTCAGAAGCAAAGGCAGCAAAAGTGGCAACAACCTGGAAAATAAATATATGAAATGCAACGTATGTAAGGGTCACAATATAGCATAAGTATATCAACATGATGAACAGCTTTGATGAAAATGGTAAACAAAACCACCCTCTCTTCCTGTGGCTTGTTTTACATTGCAATAAACCACTGACTCTATAACCTATCAGAACATGCTGAGATTTTATGCATCATTTCCAACTACTATTTGAACATTTGGTTTAGAGTAGTCATGAACCATAATTAATGGGATTTTTTTGTGTGCGTGTCCTGATAAAAAGCAAGCTTTATTGTATTTTATTACCTGTTGGTCCAAAGCTCCATATAGATGATGTAAATTCATTGTAGGTTTTAGGCTGGGGAAATAGAGGAGATGGGGGTTTTTGCACATGACAATGATGAATTAACATTTACAGTTTCTAATCAAACCCAGAAGTTTCGCTTGAGATGCCCCGTCCAAATTTTCTTTTCTCCTGTGAGTGAGTTGGTAGCAATGGGACACAGAGATTTTGGCCCAGCTCAGCCTACCAGGAGGAAAGGGGGAAAAAAAAAGCCCCAACAACCCAGGCACCACAAAGACCATGGAGATGAATGGCTCTATTTTATGAGCCATAAAAGTTTTATTCATCTTGACACCGAAACAGGTTTAGGCAGCGAGTTGACACGCCTTAAATAAATAAGTGGAATTAATTCCCCAGCTCTTGAAACAATAGCAGAGCGCCCGTAACGCTGAGAGCTGCCCCGTTGTTTCCCGTTGCTGCTCGATATTGATATTATTTGTGGGTTATTTTTTTTTTTTCCCCTCTGGGGCCTGGTTGCTCCACTTCAGATTCTTCCCCTGTTTTATTAGAGGTTGAAAAAGGTTCAAGACCTGGTTGTACCACTGCTCCCACCGACAGCTAAAGAACCAGTTTGGCGTCTGGTTTGTCTGTTGTTTTACTGCTGACCTTCAAATCAACTTTCCCCCCTGACCCCAGGAGGCATCTATCATGACAAGAGGCTGTTTAACACAAATGGTGCCCATTTATAGGGGAAGAGAGTCAGAAGATTTCCTTGGTTGTTGGGTTTTTTTTTGTTTTGTTTTGTTTTCCTTTTTTTTTTTTTTTAAATGAAGAATTTGGTTTTTTCACCCCTCTTTTCTCAGTCACCACAGGTGAAATCCCTCCTAGCAGCTGGCTTATGAAATAATGCGAGGGGAGGCCTTAATGAGCTGAAAGCACCCTCAGCTGGAGATAAATATATGCAAATGAGATGCACAAACAAAGGAGCCCGGACAGAGAAATATCTGCAATTCCAGCAAAATGCTGCCTGCAGCTAGAAGATGAACAGCTTTGATAAAATGGTAACAAAAAGCACCTTTTTCTCCTCCAGCTTGTTTTACATTGCAATAGAGCATTGTTATTGTAACCCATTGGAGCATGCAGAGGTTTTCTGCCGCTTCAAAAAAAAAAAAGAAAACCTGTTTAAACATTTGTTTTTAAGGCATTCATGGGCTACGAGCAGTGTGATTGCTCGGAGTTTTTTGGCGGCTTGGGGTGGGTTTTTTGGGGGTGTCGGTTTGGTCATGGTGGGGTGTTTTGGGTGCGTCTTTTTTTAAGCTATTTTTTAACATATATATTTTTAGTGTCTATATTACCTGTTGGTCTGTCTCTGACTCGGGTTGCTGGTGATTTTGGTCATGGTATTTTGCAAGGGGGAAGGCAGGGTGGGTCTGGCTGTTGCTACTCAAAAAAGAAAAAAATTAATAATCCAAGTTTTGCTTTCAAATTTGGAGGGAAAATCCAAGTTGACAAGTAGTAAGAAGCAACTTGGGGCTGGGGGGATGGAGAAGAGGGGAAAAAAATCCAGATTTGAACATTCACCAAGCAGCACCCAAAGAGGCAGCTTTAATGAAAGCAATCAAGCCTCAGAGCTAATTCAAAGACAGACATCTAACATGCTGATTTTAATAAGCTTTTAAAAGGCAATCTTTAACTTTTAAAAGTCACTCTTTTTAATTTAATTGGGTTTTTGGTTTTTTTGTTTGTTTGTTTATATATTGCCAAAACAAACACAGTCACTAAAATATGTTTTCAATATGTATAAGTAGCATATCTAGAAAATGTTTTGAATTATCCCCGTATTTTGAGGGGAGGGGGAGAGGGTGGAGGAAGGAAAGAAAGACGCTTACTTGGGATGAGTCAAAGACATTTTCCAGGGGTCATCGTGTCAAAATAATGCCTTTATCTTCTCGTCCTTGCCTTTATGAATCCTCCTGAGTGAACGTATGGATGCCTCTTTACCTATAGGCTTCTTCAGAAAACAACCCCGACCGATCGCCCCTCGGAGATAGGCAAACCTGCCTTTCTAAAAGGCAGAGAAAATACAGTGCTGTTTAACTTTTAACCTTATGATATCATTAAATAGATCATTATGGATTTATAAATGGAGGGTAAACACTATAAAGTTTAGAGGGCCCTTTACTCCAGGCACTAACCACAATTTTTATATCTGGCAAGAAGAAGAAAAATAGACTTACCTTTAAGGAAAAAAATCCCCCTCTTTCTTTGGCACTTACAGATGTTAGAGCAGACAAGTGTCGGATTTCCCGATGTCAAGAAGATTTCCTAATTTTTCACAGCCTTCTCCTGTTGCATTTTTGGCCCGATGTGGGAATCATCAATTTAATTTGTGGGGCTGCGCACTGGAAATCAAGATATACGTGTACGTGTGCTTTAATGAACCCTAAAACCTGACAGGCAGCTCTCTGCTTGCAGTTGCCCCAAGCTCAGGGTTTCAAGAGTTAATAAAAACTTGGTTCTATTAGGAAGGCTTTCTTTTTGCAGCCCAGGTTTGTAGCAGCATAATTATGTTCAACTGCTGCTGTTTGAAAAGGGCAAACAGCATCTTAGGCACAGAACAATGAAATTACAGCTGAGATTTAGGTTAGCAAAAGCCGTCTTCTGCAGGCTTTTATGATTCATTATTTCCCATTAAATACAGTATTAGAAGTGTACACCAGATAGCTCATGGTTGCTGCGCTCAGAGCACATTATCTATATTACACAGGTCTGGGGAGCAGAATTAGAAAACTTTGGGGGAATGAGCAATATGTGTTTGCTGATAGAAGTACCATATGGCTCATCTTCCTCAATTGCTTTCATTGCGACTCTGATGCTGGAGAAATTAAAGTTTTATTTGATGTGGCACAGCTTAATGAACTGTCTTCTGTTAGGAAAATTGAATATGTTTCCTGTTATTTGAGCACAGAGCCCTCATGGTTTTGGCTGATGAGGGATGCATTATGTATTGTTTATTTAGCATTTTGAAAACAAAAGCAGATATTGGAGGTAAAATTGATTACTGCAGGATGTGTTATATAATCACATTTTTCTCTCTTTAAATTATGGCCTTGCCTATTGTTTTTATGGCAGCGTTTTTTGAGGAGGGGGGGAGGGTGTCCCCTAATAAAAAAAGGAGAGGTTGTCGAGGCAAAGTGCATAATCACTGCTTTGTTTAAAAGCAGCGTTAGTGCTTTTTAAGTTTGGGGAAGGACATGGAAAAAAAAGAAATGCACTTACACATATATTAACCTGCAGGCCCAGTGGCTGCCACGCTGCTGGTCTGGGGATGCTCCAGGAGTGTGTGTGCACTGGGCTGTGTCATTAGAAGAAGACTCATTTCTCCTTCCTAGGTGGAGGACACAGAGAGGGGAACATCCAGAACTCAGGAACCAAATTCCCTGGATTTCCCATTTCTTAGTATATCAGTCAGTTATTTGCAAATCAGACTTACTTGCAAAATGTTAATACCTGCCAGGGTGGAGGTGGATAAAGCTGGGGAGGATACAGAAAATTATTGGGAAGAGAGGAGCCCATGTTACCTGACACTGCAATGTCAGTCATTTATTTGGGACAAGAAATAAGATCTTGATGGAAAGATGGCTCAGATTAAAGGCAATGTGTAGTTTTGGCTTTGTTTGTAGTATAAACAGACATGCACACACCGAGGACTATATCCCCTACCCATGTCATTGGGGTGGTTGGCAGCAATAACCCCAGTGACAGGCAAGGCTGTGGGTGCTGACCCTTCTTCTCTCCAAGGGAGAAGACAACTGTATTTCAGCTCTGAAACTTACAGGCAAAAATATATTAATATCTCTGGAGAATGTTATTCTTATTAATTCCACTTCTACTTGTTTGAAATCCTGCCCCATGGCACCCTCTGACTTTTGCTGTTATTGATCTCCCAGGAAAAGGGAGGTGGGGATCAGGGAGCAGTGAGTGGAAGGCAAAAACTGCCTGTGATAGCTCAGTGCTTCTCTCCTGCCCTCATGCTGCTTTGACAAAAAGACAATTTGTCTTGTGAGCCCCACGATGTTCAAGGACTCTGGAAAATGTGCCTGTTCAACAAGCCCCACACAGAATCTAAATACCGTCCATTAAAAGAGAAAGTCCCAATGTGTTTATAGCAGCGGGCCAAGGCGCTCAGCCCTCGCCCAGGAAAAACTCCCATTGACGTCAGCAGGGCTTCTGCTTATGCAAAGAGTGCAGGATGCTGCCCTGCACCTTTAGAAAGAAAAGAGGAAAAAAAAAAAACAACAAGAAAAAAATAGAAATGAGTGGTACTGGAAGGAGGATGTTGCTCTTGAAAACATCTTGGAGCAAAGTGGTTAAAGTAAAGCCTGTATAAACAGTGACTATAAATATTTTCCATTCTGTATCACTCTTCAAACAGTTCCCTGCTGTAATTTCAGGTGAGTACAAAAATAAATAAACTATAGCATGAGAGGAAGAAGAAGGAACGAGAAGCAAAAAAAAAAAAATTGCATTGCAACCATGGCTGGAACCACAAAAGCTTAACTCCTTTCATCCAGATCTATTTCCCAGAGAAGAAACTGGTGGGTTTTTATGAAAGGCTGCTCCATGACAGGAGCCTCCTTTGAGGAAGACCATTATGCATTGTTATCAGCATGGCGTAATTTGACTGTTGACAAAGTATCTGTGGCAGTGAGAATGAAAGCAGTTAGAAGTGTGTCGGGTTGTAATCAAGAAGATGCTTAGCTGTGCAACGCTGCATCTTGAGCAGATTTGAATCAACATTGCCTGGAGGGGACACACACACACACACACACACACAGAGAGACACAGGCACACACACCAAAAAAAAAGTCCATTAATTTTTAGTGGGAAAATTAGAGTGGCACTTGATGAAGTGAAATTTGACATGCGTTAATTGCTCCGCAGCTCTCCTAATTAGAGATTTTCAAATTCTTTTACTGCTGTCAGCCTGATGCCACATTGTCTTGCTGGACAAATGGTAAAATTGCAAATTGGGTTGATCAAGAAGTTGGGCTTGAAGATATTGGTCTTTGGCTCGTTTGCTGCTGATCATCATTTTCGTAAGAGAGGTAGGGTAATGTGGCCTATGAAGGGCATTTGAGAAGAGAAAAAGTGCAGTAAAATCCTTCTTCTTGATAAATAGAGAATCAATGATTTAACAGAGCTTGTTTAAAAAAGATTAAAGCATGCAAGAAGTGGACAATAAAGCAAGAGTTGTAAATAAAACTTTAATCTTTGTTAAATGTGTGTCTTGCATGGGATTTCAAATATGATTCTGTTTTTAATAAAACCATTAAATTCAGTTTATTTTTTGATGCACATTGTTCACATTGTGGCAGATGGAGGCAAGGGGTGGGGTTCAGGTTCCTGCATGCCTTTTGCCCTAACCTGAAAAGCAGCATAGCAAGACCATGTTCTATATCAAAAACTAGTTATAAGGTTGCATGAACACATATTTGTGCTGGTTCTGAAAGCATGATTTTGTATCTTTCGGTTTTGATTTCTTCCTTCCCCCAATTGTGGATCATGCCTCCCCTCCCTTAGCCTTTGAACCCCTCTTAATTCATTAACATATTGAATTTTTTCAATTTTCCATTTTCTTGCAATAACAATATTAATGCCAGGGCCAAGGCCTGATTGGAGCTAAATTACTTGTTACCTGCTGGCATTTATTTATATGGCATTGAATTATAAAGCTTTGCTATTGTCATGCCTTGGGCGAATTGTTTATGACACCAGTAATAGGAGTAATTGTTATTGTTGAAATTACCTGTCAGCTACCCATAGCAGTGGCCCTTGTCCCACTGACAAATAGTGACAGGGGAGAGGGATCCTCCGCACGTCCTCCTGATGACTTCTCCTCTGATAATAAGGAGTGCAGGGCCTCTGATAATTTGCCTGTCACTGTTGAGTGCAGCTCAGAGAGAGTTGGCCAAATTGTTGTCATTCACTTTGACAAAGACAGCAAAACGCTGTGGAGCAGGAGGAGGATTATCAAAATAAATGAAAGCCCTCACACGTCCTTTGTTTTGGGTTTTTTTGGGGACTGGATTTTTTTCCCCTCCCCGTTGCCACTCGCCTGCCTTTATGCCGCAGTTGTGAAAATGGGGATATGTTCCTCAGCAGTGTAACTTAAGAGTCAGCACAGGGTAGCAGGGAACGACACAAGGGCTTGTGCAATTTGTCTGCTGTTGCCTGAAACATTTTGGTTTCTCAATACAAATTAAATTCTGTATGGATTTTTGGGGGGTTTGTTTTGGTTTTTTTGTAGCCTAAGGCTGCCTGTGTTTTGGCAATTACCAACTGGCGTTGCAAGAGAACGGGTGGTGTTTCTGTGGCATGGATTTGATTTTATTTGATTATTTATTCTGTTATTTTTCACAGTCAGCAGCATTTCTTTCAGCTCTCCTCTTGCTCTCGTGCCTGGCCCCGTGAAACAATCAGAATTGCCCCATGCCCAGGGCTGCTGGAAGCAGCTCTGCTCCTGCTACAGCATCTGCAGCTTTTTGCCCCCCTGAGCTATTGCAATATCAGCCGAATTATCTTCACCAAAAATATTATTTCCTTTAGGAAAGGAGGTTCTGTCACTGATAAACCCAGCAGAGGTCTGTTAGCTGCTGCGAAGGAGCTTTGTGAGAGGCGGTGTTATTTGTCAGAGCCTATCTATTTATAAAAAAAAAAAATAAAATAAATTACAAAAACTCCCCCCTTCACGTCCTGTGACTGGTGCGCACGGGAGGACGCCCACGCTCGGAGCAGACTTGCTGCCAATCACACCCCAGCACTGCTGGAAAAGGGAGATATTTTACACCAGCACAGCAGCAGGGATGCTCAGAGTGCAGCTTTGGGATGAGCGCGTTACACCCTCCCTGATCTGGAGTGGTCCACCCCGCATCCTTCACATCTCATCCTGTAACAGCAATCATTTCCCCTTTATGGTCTTTGCACTCAGGTAATGACTACCTGGGGCACAAAGCACCTCAGGGGCTGCTTTGGGCCCTTCACCCCCAGTAGCCAGTCCCTAATTGATCAGTAAAACCTCCCACCGAGTCACTGACGCGTTTTTTCTCTGTAACAATGGGGTTTGGGCCGCAGAAATACCTGTGGGCACCACCTCACCCCTCGGTTTGCTCCCTGAAGGAGGAGGTCTAAATTCCTGCTACCAAGGATTTTCATCAGCGGCAAATAAATCTGCCGAAATCAACCCTTTCATTTGTAACCATTGGGCTCAAACGCATAATTTAGCCAAATTATCAGCTGCCTCCATCTTCCCAGGGAGCGAGTGCAAACAACGTTTTAGGAACAGACATCTAAATTTAGTAGGGTTTTGAATAATTGATAGGCTGGTGTGACAGAAGATAGAAACTTATGTTTCTAATCATCCCAAAGCATTTCTCCTTCCTCCCACCGCCCAAAATGAAGTCGCTTTTTTTTGCAGTTAAATATAGGGAAGATGTCCACTTAACAAGTATAAAATTGTGATAGCATTAAGAGGTTATCCGTGGTAATAAAAAGCGGGGAACCTGCCTGAGAATTTGATCTGTAAGGCAGATAATTTTTAAAGATGGGACTTGTCCTTGCTTTGTCTGGGGAGAGGCATGTTAGTGATCCCAGAAGGGGAGGGTAAAAAACACAACACACATTTCCAACTGAAGATATTTAAAATGTGTAATGTATTTCGGCATGTTGCTGTAAGCTGCTGTTTGATGTTTTTTCCTATAAAGCTTAAATTAAGCATCCCAGATATGGTTGTGAATTTCCAGCTCCTAGCTGCATCAAAAAACAAAATACATTTTAAATGGCTGTATCACCAATATCCTGATAGTCTTTAACATACAAGCATAATCATCTTTCCTTCTATTTTCTCTCTCTATTCCTAAACACAGTCCCAGCACCAAAAAGCCCACCTTTACATTTCAAGCTCATTTGAAATGTAAACTTTTAGCAAATAAGCAATGGCTTATGGAGCTGCATCGCCGCTGTGGCTGGCAGCAAATTCCTTTTTCTCCCTCCCCTCAGCGTAAGGGGTTTGAAATACCCATCAGTGTCAAAAGAAACTGCGCAGATCACTGCTGCTCTAAATAAGGCAGAGCAATGTTGAGAAAAAAACTGCCTCCCCCAAAGAAAACCAAAAAAAAAAAAAAAAATCACTCAATGGATTAAAACGACATTTCTGTCCCATGTCAGTCCAAATGACAAAGTGTCATGTTTTGCATCATTTCAGAAAGATATTCTTCAAACAAATTCAGCGTATAAACAGGCAACAGGCTTTTGTTTGAAAAATTCAGATCAAAAGTTAAGGGAAGAACAATTAATATTGCCTATTAAAATCCCTGTTATTGTTAAAGATACATTTTGTGGTTACTGATTATAAATAAAAGCAAAGGAACAGAGCCACGATTTCTCACCACTGCAGATAGAAAAAGGCAATTTCCAGCTTTTTCTGTTTTGTTTTTTTTTTTTTCCCTCAAAGTTGCTCTTAAATGTGTTTGCTGAATAAACAGGATTAACTGTATTTAAAACAAGAGATAAAGAACAGCTTTTTATTACACTGAACAGTCTGCAGGGTTTCCAGACTCCTCTGAATGCACTTCATGCCTGGAACATAATGTTCATATTTTACCTTTTTAATGACACCATATAGAACAAGCAAAATATTTTTATAATAGCACAAATATGGAATCGATGGGGAATGGTGAAAAAAGAGCATTTTTACCATTTTTGCTTCTGGCCAAATGCCGAAGTGGTGGGTTTGTTGTTTTTTTTTTTTTACTTTCTTTCTTTTTGCTTTCTGCTCTTGTCTTTGTTTTTGTTTTTGTTTGCAGTTTTGCAGCAGGATGAGAAAGCAGGGAAGAAAGTATTCCTGCTGCTGAAGGGGTTTTCCCTTTTCCTCTGGCTGCAAAAACTCACCGGGTGCTGTTAAAACAAAACTAATGGCGAGAGTGCGATCCGAGAGCCCGCCTGCTATCAGCTGCATTTCAATGGAGGCTGGCTCAAAATATAGGTACAAAGAAAAGAATTTAGACAAATTTGCCTCTTAACCTTTAAAGATTTCCTGCCTATTTCAGTATGTCCTTTATTACATTAATTTTTTATTTAAATTACACCATTAACTGGATATGAATTTATCAAGAATACATATATTGATTTATAAAACAGTATCATTAATTATTATAATAGCTAGATGTAGCTGATATTACAAAGCCATTTAAAGGTTTTTAATATAACTTGGACATACATAGATAGATAGACATTATGGACGAGACTACAATTTAAACTGGCTACCAGCAGTTAATGAAATCCTTGATTTATCTTCTCATTTAGAGATTGATCATGTTGTTGCTTTGTAAAACTATTTATTTTATGCCATTTTTCAAAGGATGTCTCAATAAAAGTAAAAGATAAATAAAACATCCAGCCAAGTCTCAAAGCATATTTGGTTTTATATTTTCTTTTTTAATGCTGCAGCTGTTAATGTATTACTAGTTTGGAGAGTTGTCACCTTTACAGTGAATTGGCTTCCTTGATAACAGCTATGTTTGTACATGCACAATTTCCTATGTTTGGATTAAAAAAAAAAAAAAAAGAAGAAAAAGAAAAAGGAAAAGAAAAAAAAAAGAGGATGTCTTCCCCACAACATTGTGCTTATTTCCTAAACCAAAACCCAGCAAAATGCCTTTCTGGCATAGATTTTTTTAGGCATAGTTTTTGTTTAAGCTGTGGAAAAATGGGACTTACCCTAGCGCTGCAAAGCAGTCAGTCATGGAGAACATTTTGATTTAAAATGCAATCTGAAGAGAAGAAAAAAGAGAGGGGAGAAAAAAAAAAAGGAGAAGGAATGATATAAACAAACAGTACACCACTTTCAAGTTGCTCCTAAAATGTTCCTAGCTTAACTAATACATTGGAAGTTTAAATCTTTACACATTATTCTTGAGGGGCTATGTCTCTTGACTCTTTATTTATATCACTTATTCTTGTCTGGCAACATATGTTACCGATTTATTATAGTATTTTTTTACTGTTAGCCAGACAAATGTAAGGGCTAGCTGAGGAAGGGTAGTTGCATCTGATGGGTTTAACAATTGCAGGGTATCCTTTAGGGGTAGCCAATGGGCTCTTTTGAAGCTATAATACTCACCATTAACCATTTTCATGCTGACATATTTTTATTTTCAAAGTTGGGGCTTTCCCTCATATCAGTTTCTTTTATATCCAGTGGCTTAACAGGCAAATCAAGCAGTGTGGCTGAGTGGGTCTGCAAGCCAAGGTTTTTGTAGAAGTCTCAAACCACCCTCTTATATCTTGGCATCTAAATCTGCATGGCATGCCCCCCAAAACTGAACAAAGAAAAATACACACAGAAAATAATACTTTAAAAAAAATATCTAAATCTATAATCCATGACAAATGCAAGCAAATCCTAAGCACAGGCGGTCAGATTTCTCAGGGCCATTACTGACACCAAAAGGTAACAGAGAGGAAGATTTTCTCACCAAAGCAATCTCCTCCAAATTCCCATTTTAAATGGATGCACCAGCATCAGAGGGAGAAGTTGCAAGCACAGGTGGTGAGGTGCATGTCACATTTTGCACATGGTGTTTTTAGGTCACCTATTCTGGAGCAAGATCTTGAACTCTCCCCACCTTTTCCTTCCTACTCATTCTTTGTCCTATCTCCTTGTCCAATGGTAACATCTTCCTCCAGCTCCTCTGAAAGCTGTACCCCTGTGTCTTGTTTCACTCTTAGAGCCCCATCTTGAGCTTCTGGGAGCCAAAAGGTTGTACAAACTGGGAGGACATAATTCCTGATATCTCCCACAATTTCCAGCCCTTTGGGGCCAACTCAGACCATTACACCTGCCAGCAAATCCTACATCCAGCCTGGGATGCTCAATAGCCCTCCTCCCCAGGGATCACTGAGTAGATGGTAGGGCATACTCTGAAATTTCTGTTCCTTAGAATTCAGTCAGATTTTTTAGGATTTTTTGGCTCCAAAAAGTCAGGTTTGATTTCTCTTGCATCTTCAGGGAATGTGGGAAGGGGCTGTGTAAGCTAACGTGAGACCACAGGAGCTGAGGAGGGATGATCTACTGGGAAAAAAGGTACAGTGAGCAGCATTTTGGGTGGGAAATGAGGTGTTCCAGATGGAATAAATATAGAAATTGCAATTAAATTCGTTGGGCTCCTTGAAGGGAGAGACTGAAAGTGGAGCAGGACATGTCTCCTGATAGCACTAGGGAGTCCTTGACAAATGCCACACAAAATAGTTTTAGCTGGGAGGAGAGCAAGTGCTCCTATGAGTTTTTTGTTTTGGTTTTTTGTTTGTTTGTTTGTTTGTTGTTTGGGTTTTTTTGTTACTTATTGACAGTTCAGTTATTGTGGGCTAATTTTTTTAATTTAATTTTTTGTTTAATTATCAAATTTCCCTATACTTATTGTAGGGGGTTTTGAGGACTTTCTAACTTAGGTCTAAGTTTGGCAGTATGCACAAAACTTGCATGGAAATAAAAAATAAAGACTTTCCTTTCTTTTCATTTTTCTATCAAGAAGTTAACATAACTTACTTTGGGTTGGGTTTGGGGTTTTTTTTGGGGTTTGTTTTTTTTTGAAATTGCAATTAAATTATACCTTTGTCGCCCTCCTAAAACAATTTGCAACCCCCAAATGAACCTTTGGAGACACGTCTCGTCCTTCTTAACGCCAAGGGCACAGTGAAAAAGGCTGCAGATGAAATGGTCACACCAGGACTCCAAGATTTAAGGATTTGAAGTCTTGGCTTTTCCCATTTCTCCAGAAAGGTTTTACTTAGGCAGATGTCACCAGTGTCCTGGGCAAATATTTGGTAGCAATACCAAAGCTTGGAGCATATGTATTAATATTTATTTAATTCTGTATTTTAAGGACATTGACAACAACTTCATAATTAAGCAAATAACCTCCCTTAAATTTGTTTATTCCACTCAAACCCATATTTTCTTGGCTGGGGAGGAAGGATCAGGAAGCATGACTTGGTCTCTCAATCACTCTCTTTCTGTTTTGTCCATCACCTTGGTTTCTTTCCCCTGTTTTTGACCTGTACTTTTTCTGGATCAGACACTGGCAGGTTGAGAGGTAATAAGAACCAGATGGACATAGTACAGAAATTGCCCAAATGGGTACGAGAATGTGGGGAGCTGTCAGGCATGGAGAGAAGCTGGAATTTTTCAGCAATAAAATGGGATTTATCGCCACTCTCCCACAGTCATTGCCGACAACCGTTTACCTTGACAGAAACCCCATTCCAATAGGCCATACCGATGCAGATTTTTTTTACTTTTTTTTTTTCCCCCTAAGAGTGATGATTGGTATTTGTTCTAAGGCTCAAATGGCCTGCACTAAAGGTGAAGCATTAGGCCAAAGTCCTGTATTCCCTACTGAGGCAAATGAACCTGCTAAAATAAGTTCCTTCCACAATAGCTGTGTAATTGAAACCAGAAAGTGAGAGAATTTGATAAATTGCTTGACCCTGAAGGAATGTTAAGGTCATAAATTTTCATTGCATTTTTTTTTACTTCTTTTTTAGGGAAAAAAAATCTCTTTTATATATATACAGGTAGGCAAATATATTATGTTTAGTATTTGTCTCTGAATTCCAGCTAACTTCCAGATCATTAGCCTTTACTTTGCCATCCTCTCCCCATAGGAAATTACTAGAGGGTTTAGAGGATTCCTGGCCACAACTTCCTAGGAGGACTGAAGGACACAAAATACTCACAAATGGCAGCGCTGTTAAGGAGTCAGCCACATAAAGAATAAACAACTCAAAATTGTGAGGTTAGCAAGTGCAATCCCTTTAGAAAGACAAAATAAACAACATAAAAAACACAAACATACTGTACTTGGAGAGTGCTGGAGCAAAAAAATCTGTAAATCATTTACAGGCTATCATTTATTGCTACTTTCAGCTTTTTTTTTAACTTAGAAGTAGTATTACCTTTTACTTGAAAAAGAATGATCAGAGCTTTCTTGAATAATATGTACAGTATTGAATTATATGTTTATGATAAGATGTCCCTTCAAACTCAAAAAGACACAAGCAAACCTCAGATCCCACGGTATCTTATTGCGGTAATACATTTCTTGAGAATAAGTAAAAGAAAAGAAAATTTTTAAAAAATAGAAAATTAGGGCAAACCAAGAGAAAGGATGAGAATACTAAGGAGAATAACCAGCAAGGTAAAACACACAACCATGATCCCTGTTCTGTGCTTGCACCCATCAATAAATACAGCCATACTAAAATAGATTCTAAGAAGAAGCAGAGAGGAAGCTCAGAAATATTTTGGTTTTGTGTATGGTTGTTTGGGTCTTTTTTTCCTGCTGTAGCAAAATTTACTTCTGTAACTGTAGCAGCTTCTGCTTCTCAACTGCTTGAAATTTGCCATCATATAGTAACTGTTTTTTATAATCTGGCTGCTTTCCTCCCTGTGCTTTGAATATAACATTTCAGAGGCAAAATTGTCTCACTTCAATAAGGCACTGCACTTTACATAGCCATACACACTTAACCCTACATGAAGCAAGTTAAATAATCATTAGCACAGTAACCCATTGCTATCAAAAACTTATTGGTCCTCTAAATTTTGAATTAATGGCCTGTCTCCCTTGTTCTGTGTGTCTGTATGCATCTGGTTTTCAGACACTACAGTGGAAAGTCATAGACATTTTATCAGCACGTGTTAGATTATTTGCATTATTGATATTTCAATTTAAAAGTAAAATAATAAAAAAAAAAGTGCAGGAAAAAAATAGTTCTGCTGAGTTGATTCATCCCTAGACCCCTGCTTCTTCAGTAACCCTTCAGAATGTAAATTAGCTGCCAATATTTAGTAAAGAAATGTATTCTGTTCCTCTCTGGCCAGGTTGTTCTAGCTCAAATAAGTTTCCTTAAGAAAGCATGAAAAAGAGAAGCTAAAGGGAAAAAAAAGAAAAAAAAAATTGAAACTATGTCCCCATAAAATCATAGCAAAAAAACCCTCAATAATTTATACTCACTTTTTCTTTTTGAAGACGTTAAATAAAACTATGGTGGAATGGGGTTTCCTTGCTTTGTGAGGGATGTTTTTTCCCCCGACAAACTTTCTGGCCAGAAATCCCTTCTTTCCTTTTTATTTCTTTGAGTCCCAAAGTAACTGCTAGTCATTTTGAGACAGTTACTTATCCAGAGAATGAAGGAGTATCGTCTGTGTTTCAATTAGAGAAGGAAAAAAAAAGATAAAGACTTGGAACGCAATCGAAAAATGCAAAGAGACATATTAGGATGAGAATTTTCATCTGTTGCTGTATAAATATTTTAATAAAAGTTCTAAAATAATGTGTCTGCCTCCTGCTCTATAAAAGAGAGGAGATTATGAAGTGCAAATGATGCAGCTTAGATGTATAGATCCTACTGGGCTTTTTCACCATTTAAGCGTCTCTTCGTGCTTCTCCTCCAGAAGTTAGAGCCATTTCAGACCCCAAGAAGTATAAATTTCACAAGTATAAATAAAAGATGACCAGCAAGTGGCTTCAATCACTAATATTTTTTGCAAACTAATGTTCAGCTGATGCAACTCGATTTTGTTTTGCATCACATTAGTGTCATGGCAGCAATGACTGGCTTTTATTCACCAACCCTTTGAGTCAGCACTTCAAGACATCTTTCAAATTAGGTCATACTGCAAATTTGCCGCTGATACAAAGGTTGATTAAGAGAGCTTCGCAATTTTAAAGGGATGTCTTGCGAGGAGAATTAAGGTTTGGTTGATAGTTCCAGGAAATGTGAGGCCCCGTAACTACATGAAAAATAATGTATAGGCTCTACGGGGAAAGAACATATTTCCTCGGAGCGCTTGAAGAAATACTCATTTACAATTTAACCAAGTCCTCCTCCCCACACTCCCCCCCACCCTGTTACAGGAGAAATGGTGTGATGGGTCTCTAAAACAAGCCTTGAATTATAACACAGGGGCAGTGAGATGAGCCCTGCTCTCCTCTTGCCGAAAATGAGCCCCCCCCTCTCTTGCCTCCTTTGATCTTCTTTGGAAAGACCTATTTCTCCCCCCTCCCACTGAAGCATCTTGGTTTCTGCTTTCCCCCATAAAACAATCCAGCATCGCAACGGGACCCTTCACCCGTAATGTAGCAGCTCCAAGCTGAAGCTGAATTGCTGTGTAAACCTCCCCTGAAGATCTGGAGGGGATGATGAGAAGTGACAACCAATCATGGTGGCCAGAACCAGGGTTGTAAATTACTTCTAAGCCCAATTTAGGCATCTTAATAAAGTGGCCAAAATTTTTCCCCTCTGCAGCACGGAAGGGACAGTAGCTGTTCTTGCTCCAGGGTCTGAGCATGCAGGAGAAAATTCTCAAAGGGAGCTGCTGGCTGACAAGCAGTTCTGGAAATTGGGCGGCTTAATTTTTGATGGCTAAGTGGGAAGCGAGATGAATGGTCTCTTTGAAGGGAATCAGACCCAAATCTAACATTTCTGAAGCACTCTGGGATTTTGGATTTCCCAAATTCTCTCTCTTTACAGAGAATAAAAACACATGAAGAGCAGAGAGTTCCTTTAATTTAATGTAAGTGGATAAAAGTCAACTGCCAGCTTCGTTTTGGTTTAACTCTTTGGCCCACCTGGCAAGGCAAGAAGCTGCTGTTAATGATGGGTTTGCCTAATGAATCAGTACTCAGGAAGTGAGGAAAAGAAGGCAGGATTTTGGCTGCAGCTACATCAAAAGCAGTGTTTAATTCTCCTGTTGCTGAAACTAGAGTCCCCCAAGTTATCTTTTCTATGCTCAGGAATATTACCATGATTTAAGGCTATAGCATCAGTGAAAAAAACACAAACAATTTAAAACTAGAGCCCAAAGAGAGATTTCTTGCCATATGAATAGCCATGAAAGCCAGAAAAATGTTTCTCATTCCCACTTGTATTTTCCTTAATTTCTTTGCAGCAGTCCCTGAACTTGCATTTCTACCATGGCAGCTGACTTCATTTCATGTTTTTGATGTTACGATCACCCACAGACCTTTCCATTCTCCATATGTTTCTGGATTCAGTCACTTCACCCACAGCCCTCCCCTACAGTATAACACCTCAAATCCCCCCGCATGGCAAAGGCTATTTTATTCCCAGTCACTTTCAATTTGCCTCCTGTGTTTCTCTGAAGGGTTTAGTTGAATGTGATTTCTAGCACCAAAAGTAGAGGAGGGGGGAAGTGGCAGGCTACAAATGAGAAGGTGGCCTGTGCCACAGCCAGGAGTTGCTGAAAGTGAGTTTTGAAAAGCACTGAAATAGGACCACCATAAGATTGATTTTAATATTTTGAGGTACTTTTGCACTTCAGGTTCCTTTAACCCTCTTCTACCAGGTTAGATAAAAATGGATATAAGCCCTAAAATATAAGTAATAACAAGATTTAAGGACAGGAACAGCAGCAACAAAAAGTGTATATCTACCCCATTAGCTTCAAACCCCCCTGCAGATCTAATTTGGTTCTGTCACCCCACCTCCTGCCCTGTGGAGGTAGCTGCTGCTTCTGCTACTGCTGCCCTTCTCCAGTCTCCATGAATCAAGGATATGAACTCATGCCAGAGTGACTTAAACCAGTCGTGGGAAAACAAACTGGAGGTTCCTTTAAAAAAAAAAAAAAAAATTCATACTGCCTTTTGAATCTTTGTGAAGACACTGAGAACATGCTTCCAAAACTCTTTTGTTCTGCCCTAAGGGATAGAAGGCTGCTCTTAATACAAGAAAACAAAGCCTTCCATTGCCACTACCAACAAAACAAAAAAAAAAAAAAAAAAGAAAAAAAAAAAGAGAGAGAGAAAGAAGCAAGCTGAAATGCTTATGAACACTTTGCTCCAGGCTCTGTGGCAGTAAGGAAAAATCATTGCAACCATCACAAGACTTGGCAACACCAGGGCCATGCCAGCAGAGTGCTCTTCACCATTACTGTAAATCACAGGCTGAGCCCAGTTTATTGTGAAACATCCAATTGTGGCTCCTTGAATACGATAAATAAAACCACCGTCCCTCAGTGCACTTGACTAGTATCTGTGGAAAATTCACTCTTCTGCCTAGGAACAGGACAGAGGCAGCTGATGCTTCGGTGTAGCTTGGTGGAGACAAATCACAAAAGAGAAGCTGCAATTAAATATGGTGTTTTCTGTGCCTATATCCTCTTTTTCACCATTGCTACTGCTGAGAAAATCACTTCATTCATTTTTGGCATTGCAGTATCAAGTATTTTCAGAGATTAGACTTAGGCTCATTTTGGTTCGGTTTGGGTCCACACTTAGATCAAAGCTGAACACACACAATGAAATAAAAGCTGAAATGGTCCCTGGGAATAATCTCAGGGGGTAACATTCACCTTTAGCCAAGCAGCCACGAGCCCATATTGCAGCCACCAGCCCTCAAACGCGTGCCATCAGTGCTGCAGGGCCCTGCTTCAGCCCAGCGAGGATGGTATTACTCAAGCCTTTCCTCTGGGAATATGTCAACAGGCACATTTAAAACTCAGCTTCTGCAAGCTATCAGCCACTGGCCCTCATGCCAGGAAAACACAGAGGCATTAATGGAAACAGTACACAACCAGGGAGCAGAGCTGCACGGGGATAGATCAAACTATGCCCATATTTCATGGGGTTGCTCCTTCCCCATCATTGCTTCAGAACAATTTTCCACCATGCACAGACCCAATGGAAGGATGCTGTGATGGAGCCAGAGGAAGAACAGCCCTGTAAATAAGGCCAGCTCTGCAACCTGCCAAGCAATCCTCAGATATAACAGGCAGCACCACCGCAGGGCTCATTCCCTACGGGACACGGACAGAAAAGATTCCAAAAATAACCGATTCCAAGCCCTCTTCTTGCTCGGAGCTTGTCTCCTTTTGTGCATGCTGGATCAGCTGAATATTTATGGAAGAGATTGGAGGTCAGGCTGCCTCCCTCGCTGCCCCCTTGCCCATCTTTCACACAGCCAAGTCACCAGCTGGCAGGTAGTGCCTCTCCCCAGGAGCACAGCCTCCTCCGAGTGCCAGCTGGCTCCCAGGGACAGCGCCGTGACAGTGACACACCCGCGCTGAGCCACCTTGTTCCAGCCTCCCGAGCCACTGACATTACAGCAGGCCCTCACACCGTGATGTTTAAGGCAGAACTCTATTTTGCACAGGGTAAAAAGTCGTCGTTTAGGTCCTTTTCTTCGCCCTCGTCTTTTTTCTCCTCCCCAACCACTCAAAGTCCTCCTTGATATGATTACCCACCAGGCCATACAATACAGAGCCCCACATATAAATCTGCTTAAACCCTGCATCTTCATCAATAGATGTCTGCTAGAAATAAATTTCAAGATGTGAAAGAGCCAAGCTCTTAAGGCCAGCCGGTTTGCTCCACCAGCTCCATTGAGCAGATGAGAAGAAACACCTAATTAGCCAAATTTATTAATATGCTGCTTTTTTTTCTTCAAAGAGGATATAGCTACATTATAGAGGTGAAACATGACTTTTGATGATCAAGCAAGCAGTGATTAAATAAGGTTAATCCTCATTTTATATGCTAATAGGATATTTATAATCTCAACTGCATATCCAATTTAGCTATTTTATTTTCTGTTGTTAAGAAAGTATTTCTTATTAGCGAAAGAGAATACCCCTACGTTCACTGCAGATGCTATTTTAATTGGGCTCAAGTGCATTGTGTGTAATTAGTCCACTTCTCTAATATTTCATCTATAATTACACCATGAACAATGTGCTTAAATTTCAGAAGGGCTGCCAGTTTAAATTTTTTTTTTAAACAAAACTGCTAATTAATTAGTGACCCTTCCCACGGACAAATGATTTGCACTGTAGCCTAGCCCCAGAGCTCTCAAAGGATTGCCTTTTCAGAAGTTTGAACCCCTTGTTTTGACATGACATGACGCCTCTGATCTGAGAAACATAAAGGCACCCATGCCATGCACCTGGTTTCACCAGGACTTCCACTCCAAACTTCCTCCCGAGGCACGGCAGCATGGGCATGACTTCAGTAGCAATTTTAGACAATGCTGGCTATTGAGAATGACCAAAGAAAATAACTGGATGTCATTAATCCCATTCACCTCATAAATTGTCTCAATAATTTAAGAGAAGACAGTGATGTGGCAAATTGGGGAGGGTTCCCATTTATCCACCACAGTGGCCCAGATCTGTAGTGGAGAAAAATAGAAA